AAGACGGAGATTGCACTTTTCAAGCAATTTCCCACTACAAGACAACCATCCTACAAGACAGAGATGACACTTTCCAAGCAATTTTCCATTACAAGATAGTCATCCTCCATCTATGTAAGGAAGGCTTTTTTCTTTTGTAAACCTCGGAAGTGCGTTCGGGGAATTACTTAGAACATAGTTTTCCTCTTTATAAGCTTGTTCTTTGTAATCTCTTAAAGTAATTTTCCTCATCTATAATCCACAAAACCTCACAAAAGGCATCAAACCCGTTTTCGTTTTATGTAATTTGTAAGTTGTTTTAATATAATTTTGTATTTCATATTATCTCTTTGATTAATTCTATATCTTTATTTTAAGTTATATCGACTGGAAACCAATAACCAAACCTTTAAGGTTTAATCTTTGGTATAACATACCATTTTGTTTAATTCCTGTATTTTCTTTTGATATTACGTTTTCTTTTCATTGCATATTCATATTCTACATTTTCTTTTCATTTCATATTCCCGAGAGTTTGGTGCATATATATACATAATCGAATTTATCGAAACCAATGTTATAGTTGTTTTTATTTAAATCTATTCACTTCGACATATTGTGTTTTAGGATTGGATCACTAAGAGGCAAAAGGAAACCCTTAAAAGAATATACGTATTGTCATAGCATAACTGAATCTCCAACAAATATTGTACAAGTTAAGCGGTCATATATAATTGATCCCTTCATTGGAAAAGAAAACATATATATTATTGGTCCATTTAATGTCCCCGAATCAATATTAATTATATCTTTGACATTGATGTTAACATACATGTCCGATTATTTTTTTCTTATTGTTTAAAATTTATTTCTTCAATTATTTGTTTCTTATTAAAATTCTCATTAAATTAATTTTTTAATTTTTTAATATAATTTTATTTGTTAATAAATTTGGTTTTTTAATATATGAATTTTGGAATAAAATTTTAGAACTTCAATGTTTTATTTTTTAAAAATATATTATTAAAATTTATACAATAAATTATTTTTATATTTTTAAATGAGTGTTTTACTTTACATATATATATATATATATATATATAGAGAGAGAGAGAGAGAGAGAGAGAGAGAGAGAGAGAGAGAGAGAGAGAGAGAGATGAAAGTATATTTTAGATAGTTTGAATCAATTTTGTTTTTAAAGTTATGTGTTCAAAAAATTCATAAGTTTATTTTTTTATATGTATTTATTCATAATTTATCAAAACCAATTTCTATCGTGATTTTTATTTTAATATCTTGACTTCAACATATTTCTACAATTTAGGTTTTTTTTATATTTTTTTATTTGTTCTATAGACTATGAATCTTATATATATATATAGTTTATTAGACATTAACTATATATAGATTCGATTTATATTGATCATCAAAAATAAAACTTTCTACTTATATTACACCATATAAATCGTTAACCCTATATATATAATGATTATCTATCCGCAATGTAGCGCGGGTATCCAATTAGTTTCATTCTAGTCAAATACTTCATCCATCCATACCCATCAACACCTCACTCCTCTTTTGCCATATCACCTAATACCTCATTTGGAGGCAAAAATATCGAAGTTGGCAATGTCGTTGGAGTCACCAAACGCAATGAAACCAAAAAAGTAATCCCAATAGATTTTTCTCTTACATAATAAATGACGTAGTATTCCTCGATGCATAAGATGCAAACCAATTATTAAATCTCTTCTTTCGATGATAATATTCATACACTTTCATTATGATATGGGTTTGCAATTCATTCAAACTCGATGGCTTATACCCTCTCCTTCGTCCACCTCCACCTCCGCCACCAACAACACTAAAGCTTTCATTCTATTTTGGGTCCGTAATCTATTCATACCCGATGGCTAATCTTTCATTATTCAAATCAAACAAATGTTAATGAAGACTCGAATTTAATTCACAAAAATCAAAATTACTAAATCAGATTAGCAATTAAAACTAGCTTACGTGAATCGAGAAGAAGAAAATGAGAAATTGAAGATTTGATCCAACAACCATAAAAAATTGAATTTCTTGTGAATTTTTTTTTAATTTTTAATTTTTATCTTTAGAGACTCGGAGATTTCTTTCTCATTTTTTTTCAAGAATATTTATTTTTAAAACGGTAGGAGTACAAAGGAGTCGTTTATACGAGAGAATAAGGGAGAAATTGTTGTGCTATGTTGGTGAAGATGTTAATGAAAAGGTACGGGAGGGCTTTTTAAGTTCTTTATTTTAGAAAATTTATTTATTTAATTTCAAAAATTAAATAGAAAAAAATTCAACACGTGTCAACATCCTATACCATTTTTAATGAGATTTCATGCCATTACTTGAAAATTCAAACGGAATAACGAAATTCGGATGCAAAATAAATATTGAAAGATTACATTAATAAAAAAATTTCGTAAACCGACACAATTAAAACAAAGACAACAGTAGAAAAACCCTAAGAACCACTAAGGCTGCGTTTGTTTTGGGGAAAACAAGTTCCCGGAACTTGTTTTTCCCATTTTCCAGATGTTTGTTTCACATTCAAGAAAAAAGTTAATGGAAAATGATTTTTAGTCAATGTAAAATGATAGAGTAATTTTGAGAAAATATTTTACCGAGTTTCAAAAGAGGAAAATATTTTCCTTCTCACGAGTCGTCTCGCTCTCTCGTTACATAACTCTCTCTCGATATATTTTAACAATTTTTTTCTCTATCTTCTTTTTATTTAAAATATATCATATTAATTTTTAATTATTTCTTATCAATTATTATCAATTATTTTTTCTCTATCTTTACTAATATTTGATTTTTTGATTTATAGATACATTAAATATTCTTAAAAACGATTTTTACACTTTAAAATTATTTTTATAATAAATATTTCAATAACTTATCTCTTTTTTTTTACTATTGTCTAAATCACTACCTAATCTATAGTTAAATGATTGAAAATAATTATTACAAGACTATAATTTTTTGTAAAAAGAAATTAAAATTAATTAATTCATCGATAAATACATTATTTTTTCAACACTATTCATTTGCAATTAAATCAATAATTTATAATTTTAATCAATTGTAAAATTTTGTTGGTAATTGTAATGAATAATTAGTTATAAATTATTCCAACATTAATCATTTGAGATCAAATAAATAATTATCTATAGATGATAAAAAATAATTTATCAATTATTTTTTGGACTAAATTATCAGTTCAATTTCTTGAAAAAAAAAAATTCTTAATTGAGTTACTAAAATAATAATGCTAAGATTACTTAGAATCTTTTTTTTACCAAATATGAATGTTGACTTAATTTTGTCCCAAGTAATTTTGATGATTTGGTTTGATTGTTAAAAACATACATTTTATTTTTTGAATTAAAATTTTAGAGTTAGTATTGGTGAAAATTTATTAAATTTTTCTAAATATTTCTTATATTATGAAATTATGAATGTCTTTTTAAAATTTTTTCAAGACATTTCTAATGTCTTTTTTCTAAATGTTGATATAACAATTACATAAGTTTTTGTATTTTAATTTTCCGTATCAAACAAACGTTGGAATATATTTTCCAAGTAGCTTTTTCATATAATTGCCAAACAGCAGAAAATATTTTTTTGAAAAATAATTTTCAGGAAAATAGCTTCCTTAGGAATTGATTTTCCTATGGAACTTGTTTTCCCTCAAACAAACGGAGCTTAATCCATTACTAATATGAGCTGTTTGGGAGGGAAAAAGAAGAAGAAGAAGAAGGTGAAATGGGGCCAAAAGTGGAATATCTGGGAAACTTTGGGGGTGAAAAATGCATTTCACACTTAGAAAACAGTGTCATTAAGCAAAATTGGAAAAGTTCTGGGTTCAGGAACCTCCGTACCCTGACTCTGCAAAGCAAATTCAAACCGTTAAATCCTTTTGTGGCCCAGACCTGTAATACTCTAAACCCACACCTCTCTCCCTCCAAATTTTCTGGAATAAAAAAGAAGGAAAAGCGGTTAAGACCTGAATATTAGGAAGTAGTAAATGACTTTTAATCCTTGTTAAATACTCGGCTAAACCTTAACCCCGTGAAATTTGTTCTTCAGGGCGTGTTTTTATTTTATCTATCGTATCGAGCCTCACTTTGTTTTTCTTAATCGCTTTCTCTCTTTCCAGTCCCTAATCAACGCGCAATGGCTAAGTTTCTGCATTGCAGGTATGCAACCGGTTCTTTTTTGGGTATTATTATTATTATTATTATTTTCTGAATTATTTATGCTGTTCGATTCTGGCAAATGAGACTGAGAGGAATTGAGTTTGATTCTTGCGTGAAGTCATTCTTTCGTTTAGGTTTCTTCTTTTAGTCTCTTGGATTTGTTATCAGATTTGAATTGAAGTAATGATTTATTAGGTTTAACATATTTTTTTCGTTAATAATAATAATAATTTATTAACAAAGCAAAGCATGTTTACTTTGTAAATTTTTTTTTTCATTCCATGACAGTAATCTACTAAATACATCATGTTTGGATATTGCAATGTCAATAGGCCTCTAAACGTTATGTAATATGAGAATGTTAGAAATTTTGCTAAAAAAAGATTCCAATTAAACGATGCTGGGTTCAGGATTGTCTTTTGACAAACCTAGAAAATCTATCTTTATTTATTTTCATAGTTGTGGATTGTTGATGAGATTGTTCGTGTCTGCTAACGATGGGGAGACCGATGGGTGCTTCCAATAGCTTTCTTACTGTATAGGTTGGGATTTGTTTGTTTAGAATCCCACCTCATGGCTGAATTGCTTTGTGTGTCACAAACTTAAGGGGTTTGTTACCCCTAATAAGATTGAAAGAAGGATGTGGGATTGCAATAAGTTTTCTTTTTTAAGTGTAAATGAAGTACTTCTGTGCATTTATTGTTGATATACCTTTCCATCTCCATCATTTGGTCTACTAAGTTCATACTTAATTTCTGTAGCGATTCAGTTTGATGGACAATCATGGATGAACATGACCTTCCTTTTAAAGTGGGTCAACTTGTAGAGGCAAGATCTTTTCTTCAAGGTTACCGTGGTGCATGGTTCCGTTGCAAGGTAGGACCAAATTTTTGCAGTTACAGATTAGTTTTTCTGAGTTATTTGAAGGCAACCAAATTTTTGCTTGTGGACACTTTAGGAACAAAAAGAGCAACACATGATTGTGACATCTACTTCGTTATCTTCTGTTTCAGATTAGACTATGATTTTTATACATGCCTTGTGCTGTTCTATTAGTTTTCTCTGGTAAAACCTTTGCTTTGACATTGAGATCGGGTGTTTCCAATTTTTCAAAGAATTTAAAATAAATCTGTTAAACTGGCGATTTTGTTTCCTTTCTTCTATAATTTGAGACTTTGAGCTGCTTTTTACCACTAGGAAGCATTATCTCCCCAACTGCGGATGCCGGATATGTAAATGCAAGTTAAATCTTTCATGTGGAAATTAAAACTATGTATTGTGTTCAAGCTAGGTGGAAGAGGTTCTAAAAGCCATATTGCTCCTTACTTTCTGTCTGCTGCAAAGTAAGAAGATGGGGAGCTTTTCACATCAGATCTTTCTTGTCTTCCATGCTTTCAACATGAGAAGAAGATGGGATAACAACTACTGAGAAGCTAACATAATCACATTATGTTAGCCATCAGAGATATAGGACAACTTTAGTTGGATAATGATGAACTTTTTTCAGTAATCTGCCATCATTGTGTGTTAAAAACTTGGTACTTTAGTGGTTTGCAAGAAGATGTTAGAATTTAGTTCTTTGAAGTAATTGTAAATGCTTGAGTAGTATACTAACATCTATTCAGTGGAACATTTTGTTTCACAGTTTATTGTTGAAGCCTGTTTCTTTAAGCCATTTTTAGCTGTGTTGGACTTTGAACACTTTTTTATTTCACAAATCTCTGCTTTTCAAATTCCATCAGATAATAGATGTCCACCAGAAAGATACAGGGATGCAGTATGCATTGCGATATTATGACTTTCCAGATGAAAGTAAGTTACTCTCTCTTTGGCTTGCTGAGACTGTTGTAATCTTCTTACTCAATGTTATGCATGACTTGACTGTTTGATTAATGATACTTGCTATCATAACATATCTAGGGACTCTTTCTAATGCTTTCCTAGAAAAATAAACTGCATGCGCACTTAGTAATTGTAGAATCTTATTCATCTATCATCACCGTAAATATGTACAATTTAATTGTAGAATCGGATGCTATACATATGTTCACTGGATGAGGTCTTGCTGGTCCATTTCAATTTCTGTGAGCTTTATCCTTTCCTATTTTAACAGTTATTGTGTTCGTGTGTGCAGAAGTAAAATGGACAAAGCTACATCAATATCCGAAGCCTAGACTCAAGAATACAGAGAGGCAATTGATGGTGCGCCCTTGCTTTCCTTCTGTCTATCGTGAAAGCAAATTGCCTGAAATCAAGGCCATCTCAGAAGTGGTAGTAATTGTGAATGATGTTTGGAACGTGGGAGATCTCGTAGATTGGTGGACTGATGATTGTTATTGGTCTGGAACACTAACTGAAGCATTAGGAAACGGTAAATTTCAGGTGATATGTTTGTGCTCTCTATTTTGATATTCAAGTTTTTCTGATGACAATTTGACTTATGGACCATTTGGACATGTTATGATTTTAAGTTTCATATGGGCCATTAGGACATGTTATGATTTTAAGTTTCGTTGCTGTTACTATATTGATTACAATATTTAATGTACTGCTGCCTTCATATTTCACACACTGAAAATACTTTGCAGTCAAAGGAAGTTTGTTTATGATTATAACTTTATGCTTTGTCTAGTTATTTCACGAGAGATCTTTCTTTTCTGTGCTATTAATTAGAACTGCATATAACTTGGTAGTTAGCCTTTTTGAGCAACGAGTTTTATCTCAAACAACTTGAATTTTTTGTTGGAACCCTTCTAACATCTCCTCCTAAGAAGTTTTCCTGCATCTTCTCGAGCTCCGTTTGTTTGATGAAAAATCAATTCTTGAAGAAGCTATTTTTCAGGAAATTGTTTTTCAAAAGAAATATTTTCTGTTATTTGGCAATTACATGAAAAAACTGCTGAAAAATATATTTCAGCATTTGTTTGATATAGAAAATTAAAATACAAAAACAGTATGTGATTGTTACATCAATAAGTTTTGAAAAAAATTCAAAAAGACATATTCACAATTTCGCAATATAAGATACATTTAAAAAAAGTTAATAAACTTTCATAAATACCGACTCTAAAATTTTAATTCAAAAAATAAAATATATTTTTTTAACTATCAAACCAATTCATCAAAATTACTTGGGATAAAATCAACTCAATATTCATATTTAGTAAAAAAATTTTTTAAGTAATCCTAGCATTGTTATTTTGGTAACTTAATTAAGAATTTTTTTAAAAATAATTGAACTGATAATTTAATCTAAAAAATAGTTTTATAAATTATTAGTTATCATTCGTAGATAATTATTCATTTGTAGATAATTATTCATTTGGTTTCAAAAGATTAATATTGGAATAATTTGTAACCAATTATTCGCTATAATTAACAACAAAATTTTATAACCGATTAAAATTACAAATTATTGATTTTGTTGCAAATTAATAGTATTGAAAAAATAATGTCCTTATTAATGAATTAGTTAATTTTAATTTTTTTACAAAAAGTTATAGTCTTGTAATAATAATTTCCAATCATTTAAGTATAGTTTAGGTAGTGTTTGAGATAATAATAAAAAAATAGAGATAAATTATTAAAATATTTATTATAAAAATAATTTAAAGATGTAAAAATGGTTTTTAAGAATATTTAATGTATTTATAAATGAAAAAAACAAATATTAGTAGAAATAAAGAAAAAATAATTAAATAATTGATGCGGAATAATTAAAAATTAATTTGATATCTTTTAAATAAAAAGAAGAAAGAGAAAAAAATTGTTAAAATATATCGAGGTATAGTTAAGTAACGCGAGAGTGAGACAACTCGTGAAAAGGAAAATGTTTTCTTTTTAAACTAGGAAAACATTTTTTCAAAAATACTCTATCATTTTCTGTTGACTAATCATTTTCCGTTGATTTTTTCCTAAACACGAAACAAATATTAAAAAAATGAGGAAAACAAGTCCCTGGAACTTGTTTTCCCCAAAACAAACATAGCCTTACTCTTAATATTATGCTTTATGCGCGCTATTGAGTTGCTGTAAAAGTATTTTGCTCACTACCCCCTCATTTGTTAATGTTTGTACTTGTAGATCGATTTGCTGCCACCTCCTGTTGGTGAAGGGTCATCTTATGAAGCTGACTCCAAGGACTTCCGACCATCTTTAAGTTGGTCTCTGGAACATGGTTGGACGGTGCCAATTCCTTCGGTGAATGCCTTGTACTCTTCCATTTTCATATTAATAGCCCTATTTTATTGCCATTTTGATGCTAGATATTTTTGTGTTACTGGAACCTCTATAACACCAGTACATGCATATATTGTGGGAGAGAAGGAATGTTGAAGCATTTTTAGTCACAGTTGCATTGCTTCTTTTCTTTTATATGGTCTGAGGGCCTCTTTGTATCTGTTTTGTTGTTCATCCTTTGATGGAATGTGATAAAAAATTATGTGAGCATAAGATGTTGTGTTACATCAACTAGAAAGTTTGACAATTGTAGAACACAGTGTGTAAGTGAAACTAGCGATATAACTGATAAGTGCACGGGTTCGTGTTTGGCAAAGATAGTTCAGTTATTTCCCTTTTCATGAAATTGTTCATTTTTCTAATGCCCTTTTTTTGGGGGTGGAGGAGAACAACTTCTTTTGCTGATTGGTAACCATTAGCTCTCTCCTTGTTTCAAATCTGACTTTTGTGGACATTGAAGTTGAAATGGTGAAGCTACTGGGTCTAAGAGATCTTACGAGTACGAAATAAAGTTTAAAAAACAGGATTATGTAGCATTTATTTTCTATTTAAAAAAAGATTTGGTTAAATTTGTGATGGCATGTCGTACAGCCAACAAATTTGTTATTTATGTGTCCTTATAAAGCTTTTAATCACGGTTATGCAATTAGGACAAGTAAGATTCGAACCCACAAGGAAAGGGAATCGGGCAATTGTTTCGGTTGTTTGAGCATTCTTGTAGTGTAAAAGGGGGTTTGTGTGTTTGAGATGCTTTAAAATAATATAAAGTAATAAAAGATAGCAATATGAGAGAGGCTTTGATCGAACTTTAGTATTCATTTTGGTTTGGTCGCTGATCATTAATTAAATAATTAACTCATCTTAAATATGAATATTTACCGTAACACAACAACATGTATGTTGACCATAGTCTTTTCTTACTTAGTCGTTAACCGAATATACCATACTCAATTAATTTCCTAGCTATTGAACAACCTACTAAGCACTAGATAGATTTAATCCAATAATAATATTAAAATGAGAAAAACAAGTGAAGCTAAGCCATCTTCTTAAGCACTAGAGAAGATTTAACTAAGTTTTATGTTTTTCAAGGAGTTGAACGAAAACATCATATAATCATCAACCTTTAGTTACTATCACATGCAAGTTTAGACAAGCAATTACATGGACTTAAATACTTAGCTAGCAATAAGTAATATAAATAAACAACTAGCGTACACTTTAATTAATTTAATCATACAACTATGAATCAATCATGTAAAAAAACATAAAATATAATATAGAGATAAGTTTAGAAATAAAACCAGGTAATCTCACAACGATTAATCAAAAGATTCAATTTGATTTAACTAAGAATGAAGTTTAGTTGTTAATTAGGTATTACAGAGAGAATTACTATTAATGGTGGCTATAAAAGAGTTGGAAGAAAGGAGAGTCCAAATAATATTCTAGCTTTGCTATTTATACCTAAAACTAGAGTTAAATCATGTATGTGTTAACATCACATGGCCACATTACTTAACACATAAAGTCACATTGTTTGTTGCTTGATATTACATGGTTTGGAGCGTTAGAAATTAAGTGTTACACGGCTTGCTAACTAGGGCACACGGTCGTGTAACTTTGCTCTTCATTCCGTGTTGCCAAGCTTCGTCCATGTATACCTTCTTTGTCTTAGAGACAAAAACGTGTGACTTTACATTACAAACCATTTATAAAGCCTATTGCTCATGTGATCTTCTTTCCTTGAGTTTTGCTAGGTTCAATTACCCACACGGCAATGTAGAATGCTTCTGCCTGTGTGGCTTGCTGTGCTTGAGATTCCACATGGTTTCCTTATTTAAGTCACAGGACAAGTAGCTATTTCTTTTGTTATTTCACACAGCCGTGTGACTCCTCTAAACCTCTTTTAAGTTTCTCTCTTTCCTTTTTAGCTTTTGGGTTTTATTGCTCTGATTCGTTGTTTTTCTTACAAAACCCGAAACCGTTATCTTGTTCTTAAATAGCATAATATTATACAATAATTACTAGAAAGTTCAATGTAATAAAGTATAAAAATCATGCTAATTTTGCACTTGTCAATTTGGGCAGACATTCCAATCACATTTATGGAATTGTTTGGGGAATTAATAAACATTATAACTCCTATAGTCCAAATACTCTTTTATTTCTTGAAGAATGGCCTCTTGCTTGCTAGGTCTGTGAAAGTATTCGTTGACTTTTTCCATAATTTCTATTTGCAGCTTGAAATTGTGTTTTGCAATATGTCAGTGGTTCTTCTTTTCTACATAAATGGTGAAATTGGGTATCGACCAGCTTCTGTAGGTTGGAGGACAAAAAGTTCTGCAAGCTATCTTTGTTCGTCTTAGAGTTTTGTTAAATGGAGACCATAACTGTTTTTACCCTTTTGAGTTGTTGTGTTGGATTTCATCTGTTATTTTGAATCATAAGCGACCTTGCTGTTAATTTTGGGGTCAATTTCTGTACGTGGTAATAATAACATCTGCTCAGTTATTTTGGCACTTACAACTGTAATTTCCTGATGTCCCTAGCTCTAATTCATGATTGCGATTATTATTTGTCCAGAATCTTGTGCCAGCCATTTTGCTTTATCTTCATTTCTTATTTAGAGTGCAATTTATATCTTATTATTCGCGAATAACCTTCTTTTCATGTAAGCCTGGGTTTTTCCTGTCACGATGACTAATTCATTTTCAGTGCCTTAGTTGCTACAGGGGATCAACAATCATCATTCATGTGCTCGGTTGATCAAACCTGTGAATCAAGGTAACTTCTTTTATCTGTTGGCTTTGGGCAGATCTAAAAAGTAATATGCTTGCCAAAATTGACTGAAAGAAGCCATTGAAAATGAAGATACATTATTGCTGATGACTTGCTTAGATGGATTGGTTATATTTGTAATCCAAGTTGGGGCTTTTAGGATGCCGAATTTGAATGACCTGATTTAATAATCTTTGTTTAAGTGCTCTGTAGTTAAACCTTGTGAAGATTCTGTATATTGTGAAAGTATGACAGGAGACAGATGAAAGTTTTGGTCCATATACGAGTCGAATGTGGTGAGGCAATGAGAGTTGCATAACATATTTTAGTGTTATTCTGATTTTGTTGCATCTTCACCTCGGATTTGTGCTTCTAACGTTGGTTATGATTTTTTGAAGTAAAGACTTGGGTATTTGCTATGGATGATTATCGTTTGCATTTGTCTTTGTCTTACTCCCATGACTTTTTTTTCCTGGATTTTTTGAGTCAGCTACCTGATTTTAGGATATATATGCTTGCTTGACAAGGGAAGCATTATGGTTGCAGGGCGTTCTGCTAACTTGGCAGTCCATGCGGTTGATGAAGGGAGAAAGGACCCTGAGGCTACAGTTAAAGCATCATTTGAGCTGAATGCTTCGTTTTCTTCTCATATTACAAAAAATTCTTTACCACCTCCACATAGATCTGAGGGAATGGCAAAAAGCCCTTTGAACCCTCCCATATCTAACAAGGCATGTCCACCAGGAAGAAAGATAGGCTTAGATATAACAAACGGTGGCGTTGCTAAAACTAGTTGCTCAGATAGTGTTTCAAGTTCACATGTTAGAGCCGGTGCATCAGCTGAACTGGGCGGAAATACTGGTGGTGACGATAATAATGCCCCCCTGAAGAAGATGAGAACTGACGGAGGCATATGTTTGAATTCTATGTGCTCTGATACGATAGAAGCCTCTATTCTGGACCTAGAGAGGCTTGCAAACAGGGTAAAGTTGGCGAAGAGTACCTTGGAGAGTGGGACGGCTTTGTCAAATACCGCAGGACCGTCATGGAAGTTTTTGGAATACCGCTCACCGTCCAGACCAAAGTGATTGCATTTTAGCGGGTAGTTTAGGTAGGTGATCAAATGATGTCAGTTTATACGTAACAGCAACTGTTATAGGAACTGTAAATTTAGGGCCTCTAAAACCCCAGATCTCATTACAATTTTGTTCATTTTTTGCAAAAAACAAAAAAAAAAAAAAAAAAAATTGCAAGCGTCAATTTGAGATGAGTGAGACCACCTTCTCGTAAAACGAAGGATAAACACTCTGGAGGGTTACAAAAAGTATGGAGTCCAAGCTCGAAACCATTGCCCATGTTGGGCGGGCTGTAACCTTCTTGGAAAACATATTGCATGAGCATGGTCCAACTGAGTCAATGAGAATAACCCACGAATTTCGATCATTGGCCACACAGGATTTGACAATCTCATGTTCCCCAGATACCCTGAAGAGAACAGGTCACAGTAGCTGATTCGGTTTCAAACTTTACCGGGCTCCACCCCTAATTCCAAGCAAGAGGCAAACCATAATAAGCTCGCCATAATTCTGTTCTCAGTGAGGAACATGAGCCTACATTTGCAGCAAACTAGCATCACAACAAACCTCCTGCTGCGGCCTGTCTCAGATTACCTTGACTTGACCCATCTGTATTAAAACGAATCCACTTCTCTTGCGGTCTTATTAAAGCACAACTGGTGTTTTTTTTTTTTTTTCGTCTTATAACTTTTTTTTTTTAAAGATAATATTCAATTAAATAGGGTGGGGTAATAACTAAGAGTTACAGTAGCCTTTAAATTTTGTAAATTTGGTCATAAAAGTTTATTTTTTTCTTGTCCACCAAAATTTCATCATTATAAATGAGTGTGTGTGATTTTAAAGTGGGCGCTTTAGAGTGTACAAATACAAAAGTTTTTTTTCCCTTTAAATAGTAAAGTGAGTATAAAGAGGTTTGTGATTGCATTTTAAATATAAAAATTACAATTATATTTTATATGTTATAAAAGAAATGGTAACAATAGTAGAATTGAAGAGAAAGATGATAGGAAAATGAATTCATAATAAAATAAAGTGAATACAAGAGATAACAACTCCAAATAATCTCTCAATCTCTATAAAATACTCATATACAAACTAATGAACAATCAAACCTATTTATAGGTTTCAAAATTGAGAAAAGAATTGGAATGGATCATGAATAATTAAAAATACATAAATTATTGAATCAATTGCATCACCCTTTTAATTTTTCAAATTGAATAATGAATTGAATCACATTAAGAATTTTGAGTAGTAGAAATATAAAAAGTATATAAACATTCATATGGATATTTATTATTTCATAACACTCCCCATTGAATGTCCATTGAATAAAAAACATGTTTCATTAAAACCTTACTAGGAAAAAAACCTAGTGAGAAAAAAATCTCGATGAACGAAAAAGAATACAATATTCCTTGTATACATTAATCCCCATATTGGTTTCCTCTTATTGAAAACATTATTTAAGATCTTTAAGACGACGTATTCCAATATTGCGAATCATCTTCTCAAAAGTTATTATAGGTAATGTCTTAGTGAACAAATCTGCTTGGAATGTCGCTTGATTGAATTTGTTGAATATTAATATCACCATTCCGTTGAAGATCCCGTGTGAAAAATAATTTTGATGATATATGTTTTATTCTCGTCACCTTTGATGAAACATAATCTTTGCTTGAGCTATGCAAGCAGTATTATCTTTATACAATATTGTTGGAACTTCATTACTAGTAGATAAACAATATGTCTCTCGAATATGATGGGTTATTGATCTTAACCAAATACATTCTCGACTTGTCTCATGAATTGCTAGTATTTCGTATGGTTTAAAAATGTGGCAACTATAGTTTGCTTCATAGAAAACTATGATATAGTTGTATCTCCATATGTACATACATAACTTGTTTGAGATCGAGATTTATATGGATAAGATAAATAACCTATATCCGCATAACCAATTAGTCCTATAATTGATTTATTGGAGTAGTATAAGCTCATATCAATTATTCCTCGGAGATAAAGTAATATATGTTTAATTCCATTCCAATGTCTTCGTGAGCAAAACTATATCTTGTTAATAAATTTACAAAAATGCTATATCGGGTAGGGTATTATTAACAAGATACATTAATGCACTAATTGCACTAAGGTATGGTATTTCGGAACCAAGAAGTTTTTTGTTATCTTCTCGAGGTCGAAAAGATCTTTTTGGACATCAAGTGAATGAACTACCATCGGACTCGGTCAATGGGTGAGCCTTATCCATATAAAATCGTTGTAATACTTTTTTTTATATATATGTTGATCGATGAATAAAAATTTTATCTTTTAAGTGTTCGAACTGCAGCCGAGATAAAATTTTTTTCCAAGATCTTTCATATCAAATTCTTTTTTTAAATAACTTATGACATTTAAAATCTCTTCAAGAGTTTTAATTATATTTAAGTCATCAATATATACAACAATTATCACAAACCACTTTTCAAATTTTTTTACAAGGACATATGAACAAATTGAGTTATTTTTATAACATTTTTTTTAACAAATAATCACTAAGATGATTATACCGTATATGTCCAGATTGTTTCAATCCATATATAGATCTTTGTAATTTAATTGAAGACATCTCTCGATAATGTATTTTACATGCTTCGTGTATTTTAAGTCTTTCTAAAAATTTCATATAGATATCATTACCAAGTGAGCCATATAAATAGGTTGTGATCACATCCATTAAATGAATATGAAGTTCTTCATGTGTTGTCAAGCTAATAAGATAATAGAATGTAATTGCATCAATTACGGAAGAATATGTCTTCTCATAGTCAATGTCGAGTTTTTATGAAAACTCTTATGCTAAAAATCTTGCTTTGTATCCCAAAATTTCATCATTTTCATTTCGCTTTCACACAAATATCCATTTGTATCCTAATGGCTTAAAATCTTCGGATGTTTTAATTATGGGTTCAAAAGCTGTTCGTTTCGTGAGAGATTTAATTCTTCCTAGTTTGCATCTTTCCACTTAGGTCAATCATCTTTATGTCGACATTCTTCAACAGATTTAGGCTCGGGATCTTTATTCAAAATATCATTTGCAACATTATATGTAAAAATATTATCAATAAATATTTCTTTTTGGTCCATTTTTCTCTCTATATTAACATAATTTATTGAAATTTTTTTATTTTTCTCGAGCACTTGGACTTCTTCCGAAGCCTATTATCAAAAGTATCATGGACCATTTTATCTCGCATCTTTTATATTTTCATCTAGATTATTTATTTTTTTTCTTTCGAGGATTTTTATCTTTATAACCGGTCATTCTTCCACGCTTCAGGTATGTTTTAGATTTGTTTGTTATAAAATTAATAGGTTGTTCTTCCGAGACATTGATTCTAACATGAGTATTCCGAGTAGGAACATGTGATTTAATTACTCTCTTTGGATCGGAGAATGCATCCGATAGTTGATTTGTAAGACTTTGTAAATAAATTATCCACTGAACTTTACGTTCACATTGTTTTGTACGAGGATCAAGATGATATAAAGATAAAATATTCTACATAATTTTTATTTTTAACATTCCCAATCGCTTATTTTACTTATTCTCTCCCCCTAATGTTGGAATGATAGTCGATAAATCGAGCCGTAAAAATATCTCTTGTTCATGGTTCAAGATATTTAATTACCGAAAAGGATTTAAATTCAACATATATTCTCAATGTCCTTTAAGCCTCATTTTAGTTCGTTGTATAGGAGCACTATAGATATATACCGCATAGCTAAAAATTCTTAAATAAGAAATATTTGACTCATGACCATAAACCAATTGAAGGTAGGAGAATTTCGATAACTTATGAATCTAATACGAATAAATATTGCTATATGTAAGATTTCATGTCCCCAAATATAAAAAGAGAGTTTTATTTTCAAATAATGGTTTAGCTATCAATTGAAGCCTTTTGATAAATGATTTTGCGAAACCTTTCGAGTAGGAACATAAGCAACAAAATGCTTAACCTTTATTCTAATAGCCAATCACTAACCATTTAATCTTTAGAAGATAAATTTACCATTGTTATCAAGACAAATTGTTTTAATGGCATAATTTAGAAATTAGGTTTGTAAGTGAATTATTTAGGTTGACAATCTTGAAAATATCAAGTTTTGAATAGATAATAAATATACATATGATCATTTTATAAATGTAACTATTAAAACCATAAAATATCTAAATGGTTCACATGGTGAATGAATTGATCTACATATATAACTTTGAGTACATTTTAGAAATATTGGAGATTCAATCTCAAGATGACTTAGTAATCAATTTACCTTGAGAACATGCGGAATATAAAAATTCATTAAATTGAAAAGATTTTCTAACTCTTTAATAGATGTCCATATGAATTTTTAATAATTTTTTTTTTTTTGCATAATGAAAGACCCAAGAAAAAAACAATTGGTTATGCCGCTTAATAAAAATATTTGAATTAGTAAACTTCTAGTTTATTATAATATTTGTTTCAATCATTCTAATATTTGTAATAGAGACTAAAAAAGAAAACGAATACAATATATATTTTTTTATCATATATAATACTTATAGTATATAAGTATTCAATATTTTCTACATTTGTTGTCTTGATATAATATGAATTTAGATGAATATCTTTGGAACTCAACAAATTTCTATGAGACTTTAGAGAGAATAATACATCATTTATAATAAAATTTATCCTTTCGGATAATAACATATTTGCTCTTCTAGAGTTTTTAAATTATGTCACTTCAAGTAATAATATATTCGTTTTTTTAAAGCTTTTAAAAGTTATCTTTTCAAGTGATAATATATTCTTTCTTCTAGAGCTTCAAAAATTGATCTCTTCATGTAATAATATAATCACTCTTCTAGATATTTCGTTAAATTGATATCATTAGATATAATATTACCACAAAATAAATGATTAAATAAATAAATATATTCTTCCTAAACATATAGTAAAATAAATTTATAACTATCTAATTTATAACTATTTCTATGTAATAAAAATTATAAGAAAATATAAATCTTATTTATAAATAGAAAAGCTAACAAGTTATTAATTTCGAGTTACTTGCATTTTGATATATAAAATTGATCTCTATATTTTACTCTTTTTTTTTTTTTCGACGAGGCTTGATAAAACTCAATGAAGTGCTTTGGTATACGCGACCAATGTTCATTTATACCACATCTATAACTTTCATTTTTAGAATACTAACTTGATCCATTTTTATTCTTTTCTTGGTTTTTTTCGTACTTTATCCACTTCTAATAATGATGTGTATTATTATAGTAATAACAATTATAACGATAATTATTTCGACCATTCCCATAGCTATGACCACATCGTTATTCATACTCAAAATTATTATAAATGATCACATTCACTTTAAGGAATGGAGTAGATCTAGTTGGACAAGATTTATTATTTTTCATCAATAGCTTATTATTTTATTTAACCACGAACAAGTATGAAATCGATTCAAAATATTTCTTAAAATCTTTTTCTTGATATTGCTACTACGGGAGCATCTTCTAGACGTCAAAAGTAGAGAATATTTACTCGAGTATCAAACACCCATAATCAATAATTCTCGAAATGAAAAAATTACCTACTTTCTCTTCTAGTATTTATTACACAAATATTCAAATGATTTAAACAAATAATTGAGTCTTTTGGTATATAGATACCTTACGGTTTATTATCTTGATCGGTTAGAGTTTCGTGCCGATAACGTGCTATAAAAGAAATGATAACAATAGTAGAATTGAAGAGAAAGATGATAGAAAAATGAATTCACTATAAAATAAAGTGAATACAAGAAATAACAACTCCAAATAATCTTTCAATCTCTACAAAATACTTGTATACAAACTAATAAACAATTAAGCTTATTTATAGATTTCAAATTGAGAAGAGAATTGGAAGGACCATGAATAATTAAGATTACATAAATTGTTGAATCAATTGCATCATCCTTTTAATTTTTCATATTGAATGATGAATTAGATCACATTAAGAATTATGAATAGTGGAGATATGAAAAGTATGTGAACATTCATATAGATATTATATAAAAAATATGTGAACATTCATTATTTCATAATATTATACTAATTTTCTCTCATAATAAAGAATTATTTTTGAATTTATAGAGTAAACATGATTTTATTGAACCATGTGTTCTTTTTTATTTTTATTTTTTTATATTGAATTGAATTATTTTAGACATGTTTTTTCACATCGTTTTGCTTAATGAAACATGTCTAAATTCTTTTGGCAATTCCTTTAATTATTTTCAATATGAACTGGATGGAAGAGTCACATTAAAAACGTTAGGTAATATTAAGGGCAGTGCCCGGTGGTGATGAACGAGGTAACATTTATAGAGTATTTTTGCAGGTTATCCTTTTTCTTTTTCCTAGATAAAAATGGGGTATTTGTCACAAAAAAAAAAAAAAAAAAAAAAAAAAAAAACTTGCCGCCCGGTTACCATTCAAAAATTTTGATTTAACGGCAATCCAACGAATTTAGTTGCAGAACCGACTCCTTTTCCACATGCAAATCAATTTCCAAACTCTGAATCCACGGTCCGACTCCATTCCAGAACGACAATTCAAACACTCGAATCGTTGCTCTCTACCAATGGAACCTCCAATGCTAAAACTGACAATGGTGCGAGGCCCTCGAGAAGGTGAAACCCTAGAATTCAGACCCGGATCCACAGTCCGAATCGGCCGGGTTGTCCGAGGCAACAACGTTTCTATTAAAGACGCCGGAATCTCCTCAAAGCACCTTGTAATCGTATCCGAATCAGGAAAATGGAGCCTCCAAGACCTCGATTCCTCCAATGGCACGACTCTCAACTCCACTATGCTCTCTCCCTACAAATCCTTCGATCTCCGCGACGGTGACACCATCAAACTCGGGGAGTTAACATCAATCCTCGTCCAAATCAACGTTCATGAGGAAACCTCGCAGTTGAGACGCAATCCGAAGAGACGTGTTAATGAATCGAGTAAAGTAGGATCTATCGCAGCGAATCGGAGCCGGAGAGGAAATGAAGAGGAGGGAAAGAATGCTGAAACTCTGGAGGAAGAGAATGTTGAGAAATTGGAGGAAAAAAGTGAAGTGATAGTTGTTCCGGAGGTTAAGGGGAAAGGGAGACCGCGGAAGGCTAAGGCTTTGGAGAAGGTGGAAAGTGCGGTTCCTGCCGAGGCAAAGAGAGTGAATTTGAGGAGTACTAGAAGCAGAAAGAATGAAAATGAGGATTGTGTTTTTTTGGAGAATTTGGGAGTGGATTGTGGAGCAATTGGTAAAAAAGTGCGTGGAGGAAGAGGGAGGAAAAATAATTTACAGGAAGTGCCAGCGGAGGGTGTTCAATGTGATGTCGTGGATGATAAAGAGAATGTTGATTTAGGGATGAATGTGCAAGAAGAGGCAAAAGAGGCTGCCAATGAGGCGAAAATTGAGACTCCGGAAGGTGAGAAGATCGAGAAAAAGGAAGTGGATTTTGGAGAAAAGTGTAAAGACACAGTCAAGGGGAACGACGCTAAGGAGGGTGACCGTAGTGAGGCACGAGCCAGTGCCAGTGGGAATTTGAAGAAACAAAAGGAATTGCAAGATTTGGAGAAGATGTCGTTGGAGGAGTGGTTTGATTTTATGGAGGTGGATTTGCCAAAGCAGATACTTGAGGCTACAGAGGAGATGATTGAGGCGATGAGAAGGAAGGCAGAGCGAGTTCGGGAGTATATGATAGAGCAGAAGAAAAATCAGGGTACAGGGACTGTGGGCTAGAGAAGGTAGCTAGTGCTTTAATTTCTCTTCTTTTGTTTTCCCATCTTTAGTTATGATCGAGATATGCATATTATATGTTTCAATTATCATTAATATGATGGAACTCGGTATGTAAGCCTCTGTTATGCACATGTTATTCTTCTGAAAAACTAAGTTTCTATGTTGAGTTATTCCCCCTAAGAGGAGCTAATAGTGTTTTGCTCGAGAGGAAGCGAAAGCAGTTGATGTGAGTGGATTTTTCTTTCAGTTTAGTATAGGGACTCTAGGTTCCATATGATGTTCGTTAAATTGGTCTTTGAGGGTAGCTCTTTGTATATAGCTGTGTATTTATGCTGGATAATTTGGAAGGTCAGCGAGGTTTCTTAAACCTATAGACTTTATAATTGGATATAATGGAGTACTAGTCTCCACAAAACTTAGAGGCTGTTAGCATACTTAAATGTCTTGTACTACTCTGCATAAAGTTGATCAAACTGTCATGTTTCTATCCCTGATGAAATAGACAGGGTTTTGAATGGCTTCACTGAATTTGAGCATAGAGTTACAAAGAGAGGAATTTTAACTATTTTCCAATGGCTGATTGGATCATATCAATGACTATATATTTGATATTGATTGTAATTTAACAAGACAAGGGTTCATTATGAGGCATTATGTGGCTATGTTTGAATATATAGACCATGACACTTAGAATTGGTGTAGAAACATAGCGGATGCTGCTAAAATTTGGAAATTGTGTTGAAAAATGAGATTTTGATGCAAAAGAACGTGCTATTTTCTTCAAGTTGGAATTGGTGGATAGAGCTGCAGGCTGCTAGATTCTGATACATGTGACTTATATTAACAGTTCTTAATGTTTGAAAAGATGATGGTTCTGAGGTATTGGGGACTAGAAATGCTGGCAAGTTTCTGATGGCTTTGGCAAATGAGGTTTCTCTTTTATCAACTTAGTTTCCTCATCAGGAAGATGTCCAGATCTTTCTTGTTTACCAATGCCCCCTTGTCACTCGTGGTCTTTTTGTGTTTCTTTGTTGTTTTGCTTGGTGGTCATGCTAATTACTGGAAGGGTACTGGGCCTTTGTGCTTTCGGAAAACAAGGATTGATTTACTTGATGACTTTTCTTTTTTAATGATTAGATACATTAGTGTGTTCATTTCCATCAAATCCTCCATGCTATATGAAAATAAATAGCAGCACATAGTTAGTGTTAACAATTACTGGGCCTGTATTAGAGGTGTGCTGTTAGCAATAGATGATGACGATAGAATGCTTTATCACTGAAGTACCATCATATTTACTGAAGTGAACTATCATGTAGAATACAGAACAATATCCTCATTTGTTGGCCATCTATCCTCTTGTCCGCTTGGTCATAATTATCTATATCCAGTGGCAACTCTTCAATTAGGAATTAGGCTTCTCATATGACAGCACTGAATTCTAGCTCCCCTAGCTGTTCATCAGTACTTCTGCTCACAATATTCACTACACTTCTATTCCATATTAAATGGAAAAACTGTCAAGAATGCAGTCAAGCTTCCAAGTTGGCCAACTTGACTTGAAACAACTTAAATATTCACAACACCTGTTCATTATTATCCCATGGCAGCGCTGGGATGACAATATTGAAGTTAATAGCGAATGCAACTGTCACCTGTTCAACTTACTTCCCACTTCTGATTGTGCCGGGGGATAACCAACTTGTTTTAGTTTCTAGGTTTCATTTTGTAATGTTATTTATTATTTTATGAGCATATAACTGGTGGACAAAGCGAGATGTGTTCACAGTTCTAGCATGAATTTTCCTCAAATTCTTAGCTTATAGACTATTTTCATTTTTCTCAATTAAGTTTAATCTGTCTTATTTATATTTAACAGCTTGAGGTTTCCTTTCAGTTTATCCAATGTTTTTGTGGAGTTGAGTTTAAGGGTACAATGCTGAATTTTGGAGTTTGAGTTCCTTCTGAACTGTCTAATCAGATGCAATTTGGTGTTGTGGAATGGAACTGCATATAGCAGAGGATACAGCAAAGTATATGGAGTCAGTTACACTTTGAGGATCAACTTTTGGTGGTATTTTGCAACCTTTTATGACCCTTATTAAGTAACTCTACATTTTGGTGAAATGCTCTAGCTTTTCTGATAGTGTATTTACTAAGCAGATCTGGTTTTGGGCATTCTGGAATGACAAGCTGGCTAACCTTTTCCCAAGCCCACTGATAACTATTGCAGAAGTATGTAAATATCTGATGCTGGTAGGTTGTATGTCCAAAACAGCAATATATCCTTGTGATCTCTGCATTCATGGAGCACTGTTCAAACTGATACGAAAATTAAGTTGATGCTTGAATGAGGTTTTACCTGTCTCTCTTGGTATTTGGCTTATTTGATGGGATTTGGTGCCACATTAATGGTAATTGGTACAGTTCATGCCGTTATGCTGCAGGACTTATCTAGTGATTAATCTGGTTTATAATGTTGTGTCAATACTCAAGGTTGGAATCAAGGATGACTAAGGTTTTTCTTATCTTGCCGATTACTGGTCATATTGATTTCTTAAAAGTAAATTTGTACTGGGATGTAATGGGTGAGCTAGTGTTCATCTTAATTTCTGTGTTTCCAATTATCAGAATAGTTTGATGTTCAGGAGGCTAATTAGTTATTGCTAGTTTTTCCCCGTACTTACCATGACCCTAACATTTTGTTGCTAACAGCCACTTTCCTGCTTTGTATTTTCTTGGTTGCTAAATCTAAACTTCTAGCTTTTATTTGGGATGGCTTGATAATTTTCTCTCCATTGGCACATAAAACGGAGTGAGGAAAAAAAAAGAAAGAAGGAAAATAGGAGACAAATTTACAGGGAAATCTTTTGATCAAGCATACAAGTATTTTTTTTTATTTTTTTTATTTTTTAGCTCAAGTCTTGCAATTATTTGCAGACTTTTCTAATTTTCCAAAGTTAAGCAGATGCTAGTTCTCCAAAATCGCTAGTGAAAGAGCCGTACTAAACTAGCAAGATTTGGTGAAATTGTGCACTTGTAGCATGTCCCCATGTTGGCATGAACAAGAGATTGAAGAGGCTAATGAGCTGTAACTTGCAAATCATCTCCAACATATTTCAATCAGGCTGTGCTGTAATATCTTCATGTTTATTTATTTATTTTTTTGCGATTACAAAATGCGATGCTTTCATTGCTGGTTGATTTCAAATGTGGAGAGCTACTGGTCTTTTTAGGTGTAATTGGTTGTAGTGATGCCGAAAGCAACCAGGAACAAAGTGTGCAGGCTTAACCTAGTCAGACAAATGGATAGGCATGGGATGTTAAATTGTTGGTAAACCCTAAAAATTAGTGATGTAAAACAAACTAAATTACTTGCATTATTATGCTGCTTGATTTTTGCCCTGTTGAAAATCTGTCTCTCACCATTTGTTGGGAAAAAGAAAGGGAACAAGTTCTAAAGAACAAATAAAATATTTGTCTTTTGACCTTTTTGCGTGTTAAGTTTCTAAAAGTCAGGAGGTCCTAAGCCGTAAGCACAAGTTATCTGGCGGCCTTGTCTTTTAGCAGATAGAAAGTTGTGTTTGTTTTAGAGCTCATCTATATTCCCCTGTAGAAAAAGAAACAAAAATTACAACAATACTAAAACACATGGATTTATTACTTTTCATCTCTTTTTCACACACCTCCATTCCTATTATTCACGAAGTTTACCATAATTTTCAGCTTTGGTCCCTCATATTTTAAATAATTTTTATTTCGATCTTGAACTTTATTTATGTTGCATTTTGGTCCTTGATAGCTTAGAGAAGACAGGAACGACAAGGCCTATTCTTGTCATCTCGGCCGTTAAGCTCACCACTATTTTATTCATATTGAAGAGTAGAATTTATTTGTAGTAATCACAAGTCATAAAATGGTAAGAGGAGGTAGACCGGAAGCTTGAGATATTTTAAATTTTTTCAGTTTGATTTGAAATTATTTTTCTATTTTGTGTGCATTGAAATGAGTTTTGAGGTTCAAAACGAGTTTGTTGATGTTATTTTTGTTTTTTTAGGTGTTTTTGGATAAAAATGGAGCTAAATTTGAGTTTGGAGACATCAAAAAATTTAATCTCAATTTTCCGGCATCGTTTCCAACGAATTGGTTTGCCAAAAATTGCGGACCCAGCTTTTATTTTTATTTTTTGCCTTGGAAGGGTTGGGATTAGGCCTAGGCATGCGTCGTCCTACTCTCTTATTTTTTTTTCAATAATTGATTTTTAGGAAAAATTATGAAAGATTCATTTTTTTCATGCAATCTGGCGAGGATAAAATATATGTGATGCATTTCGGATAATTTATTTATTTTTATCTCTCGTCACTTTATATTGCAAACTCTCAATTCACTTAGGCGGTGTTTGTTTGGGAGAAAATAAGTTTCAAAAACTTATTTTTTTTCATTTTTCAATGTTTGTTTCATGTTTAAGAAAAAAGTCAACAAAATTTGATTCTAGTCAACTTAAATTAATAGACTATTTGTGAAAAAGTGACTTATTAAAAAAGAAGAAAATATTTTTTCTTTTTCATGAGCCGTCTTCCTCTCGTTTTACACATCTCTTTCTCGATATATTTTAATAATTTTTTCTCTATATTCTTTTTTATTTAAAATATATCAAATTAATTTTTAATTATTTCTTATAAATTATTATAAATTATTACTTTTTTCTATTTCTACTAACATGTGATTTTTCAATTTACAAATGCATTAAATATTCTTAAAAACCATTTTTACACCTTAAAATTATTTTTATAATAAATATTTCAATAATTTATCTCTATTTTTTTTTTTACAATTATCCTTAACATCACTTAAACTATACTTAGATGATTGAAAATAATTATTACAAGACTAAAATCATTTGTAAAAAATTTGAAACTAATTAATTCATTAATAAATATATTATCTTTTAACACTATTCATTTACAATTAAATCAATAATTTTTGACTAATTTTAATCA